TTCTCTAAAAGCCAGGAAATCAGAACCTAAGAGCAGAAAAGGAGGAAGATGACGTGTCTGAAGGAAATGCGACAAGCAGCCTGACCTCCTCTGCTGCCTCCTCCCTCTCTGCTGCTGCCCAGAAACAGGGAAAGTGAATCTCATGCCTGGAGTGCCAGCTGCCTTCTCAGTCTGCTCTAGTCACTCCCCAAACCCTCCCATTCTCCTGCCCGCCTTCTCGTCTCCATCCATCAACTTGCTAATCTCTTCCAGGAAGACTGATAAACCGCCCCCACACCTCTGCCCTCACGTCTCCGCTCTCTCCCATCACACACCCAGAAACACGACGTCCTTTCCCGTAAGGCCCTTCTATCCCCATCACGTGCTCACAAGCACGTGTCATCTCTTTGAGTCCTGCTATCTCACTCCTCCAACTCATTTTTCTGACAGTGCCGTAGCCCCGAGTTGGCCACAGCTTTAGAAGGGAATTTCCCAAAGATCAAAAACTCCATTAAGTCCCAAAGCCAGGCTTTGTTTCTTTCTCTCTATTCTTAGAAAATTATCTCATCTTTTCAAATAAAGGCTAGAAATGAAAGGATTGTTAACAGCTCTCTACCATCCACTGAATCTCAGCAGGGTGGCTTCTTTCTCTCAGGTTTGCTCTGAGCAACACTGACTTCCCAAGCTGCAGCAACCTCTTGAACTTCACCTTTTGGGTTCCTACGAAAGGTCTCCCTGTCACCTGGGAGGCCTGACAGCGCGTCTGCTCCTTGGTCCTCCCAGCAGCCTCCCAGTATCTTCTGCTGGCAGCCTGGAAGCTTTTTTGAACTACTACTGCCCTTAAGTTTAGGAGTGAACTTCTAACTTCAGAAGGCTTCCTCCTGGAAGCTGGTCCACATTTTGAATGCTGGATGCTGTTCTGGTCCTCATAGCTCAGAAATGATCCATGTAAGTGGAAAAGGTTCAAAGAAGGGCAAAGATTGTCTAAGGTTTAGGATAACTGAATAAACTGGGACACTGCAGCCTCAAAAAGCAATGACTAGGGTGGGATGTGATAGAGGTCTACAGTATCTCCATTGACGGGGGGGGGGGGGGGGGGGGGGCGGGAATCATCCATCAGCAAGATCTGTTTGGAGAGGAAAGAGGCAAGAACATGGGGACAACTGAAAGTGTATGCACAGAGAAAGCGTGACTCAGCTAAGCCAGAGGCAGGTGATAGACAGAGCTAAAGAAGGACAGGCACACTCATTGTGGCAGAAGAATTCAGTCTATTCATGGGACCTATGCCAGACATGCCCCATAGCAAAAGCAAAGGAGGCAGACACTGGAGGGCAGCCATACTAGGACCAGCACTTTAGCATCTTTCTGAACACAAGAATGGAGGGCATGAAATTAAATTAATTGGAACCAGGTTCAAAACAAAAGACTATAGGTCTTCATGCAGCAAATTGTAAATTCATGGAACTCCTTTTCAGGGGTTCAGGGTAAGACAGGAGAAGGATAGCTTAGGACTTACTAAAGAGAAACCATGGAGCCAGGAACATCCCCTGAGCTAAAAATTGCTAGCACCTTAAAGTGCATCAGAAGAAAGCATCGTTAGTTTACCTCGTCCTTACTCTTCTTCTGGAGAGCTGCTTGTAACCACTCTTGGAGGCAGGAGTGGACGGATTCTTGGTCTGAAACCACTCTGCTGTTCCCACAGACTCGGCAGAAAGCCCCCGGGCAAGAACAGTCAGACCATCGGCAAAATTCACCCGCGTGCCTCCAGCATCCAGCTCCTCTCTCACCTCTCCCGTCCCACCTGACGTTCGTGTCGCTCCACTCCGCAGACGCCTCCCGGGTGGGACGGCAGGCAACTTACCACTCCCTGCTGCTTGTCGTCTTTGCCACCATGTTCTTGGAACAGCCTTTTCCAACTTGGGATAGCCGTTTTCACCCCAGGTACACCAGCATGTATATAAACATATATTTATAAAATATGTATTCTATTTATTAATTTATTTATTATTATATATGTATTTGATACACACAGTGTATACCCTATATCCAGCTGTCATTTTGAGGAGCGTTCAGACAGAGTGAAGAGAGCCATGTGCACAACACAGTATTGCTGCCACAGGTACAAGAAAAAGTCTGAGTGTTTGTAGCTGAAGTCTGCATGGTTTTTCAGGCAGGAAAGAAAATCTGAAAGCATCACAATGAGTGTAAACCCAAGAAACACGGCAAGATGGGCAGACAGTTTTAGACGAACATCTTGCAAATCAACGCTTATGGAAATTGATTCTATGATTAAAAAGTTCACAAACTTGGTTTGCAGGAGAAGCACTAGACCGGTGGGTAAGCAATATATTCAGGAGCCTTGGGTTCCTGGCTCTGTTAATAACAGCCAAACCTCTTGCCCTGCCCAGGCCTCTTCCCCATGGTTACAGGCAGCGCTTTTCCTTTGAATAGCTCTTTATTGGTTTCTCTCCACTGCAGCACTCGCTGAAGCGATGACAAGCGAGCATACTGATGAGTTGGAAACCTGTGTACCATCTAACTTGGTACTGAAGTGGGGCTTTAAAGTTGCGCTTTAAACAACATATCACATGGGATATGCCGGCAAACTCAGTAACTTCCCCATGATGAAGCCAGAAATGGAAATACAGCTACAAGCTGGACTGCGAGTTAGCCAAGTTACTCCGTTGCTGAACATATGTTACCTAAGGAAAAAATTGCATCTCGAATCGCAAAAATTCAGAGACCCACGTTATCGTGAAATATGAGTCTCCGAGTTATTTGAGCTTGTCTGCTGGAAATTGGCAGCACCCCCAAAAAATGAGGAGGGGGAGTAGTTTACTTGACATCAAGAAGGTTTATTCTCTCATCTCTTGTCAATACAATCTACAGACTATTAATGCTCATATCAGACTGAAAGCTATGAATCAAGTTTGCTGTACAGTAACTTTTTTTCACGTTATCTGTAGAGTATCCTACTGCCTGCCTGTCTCTCTCCATTCAGCACCTTCAGGAGGCTACCAGAGTACAAAGGAAACTTGACTTAAAGGCCAGATAGGAGCAGAAAAGGAAGTAAGTTATTCTCTATGCTTTTCTGTGATGTCTCAGTGTGTTATCAGAAGCCAAGAACTTCAGGGAAAGATGTCAAAGGTGGAGGCACCGTGGAGGAGGGGGGAATTGTCTGACTCATACCCCTTGCTGGGCATCTACAGCACCAAAAAAATATCTACGTACTGAACGAGAGTAACTTGCAAAGATGCAGTACCGATTCCGCCCTATGTGATTACAGTTACACTTCAACAGACGACTTCAAATGCTGCTAAAAGAGTTTATTAAAGACTGTACTAACAGTTCTCATAACAATGGCACGTACAATGATTCAAAATCATGACAAATAGCATGGAGTTTTGAAGAGCATTATTATAATATACCATGGACAAGAACAAAGCAGATGTGCCGTCTCAGAAACTACGAGCAGGCCCATGAAATACAGGAGTCATATCCTACAGCTGTACAAGTGTCAGAGAAAATAGAAAAAAAAAGGTCATTCAATATGCAGTCCTTGAATTTATTGACAGTATTACAGTACTTTATGGACAAGGACTGGCTTGTTCCAGCTGCACTTTCCAGAGCACAAGGGCAGCTGGAAATAGCAAAAAAATCCCCAAAACAGTAAAAACCCTCCAACAAACATACCTCAGGTGCAATCGCTACTCTAGACCTTCCTGCTTACGAATTTTCAGTCAGAAATTCTGACCTCCCTGCAATCACTTTGCTCAGGACAGTGTTTTGTTTTGCAAGAAAACAAAACCAGGACGCTTCTTTAAGACAGTGCAAAAATATTTTCAATGGTATCATTAAATCACAGATTAATGACAATCAGCATGGAGCAACCGCAGCACGGCCAACAGCGACTTCAAGATCAGAACCGAAAGGACCTGCTGCCTCTTGACCAGCACTCCAGACTGAGTGCTTGCGGAGAGGAGACGTGTTGCTCTCTCCCAAGTGAGCCATCATTTCTGGGTTCATAGTGAGGAATGGTCTCAGCTACTCCACGGTAACAAAATGCTACAGAAAGCCTGCAAGTATTAAATTATCCAATCCTATGTCAAAAAACTAACAAGAATATTGAAGTGGAAAAAGTATCTAGCGGCCATGTTATTTGTCATGGCTCTAATGTTGTTCCCTTCCTCACCGTGTCGGTCACGGTAGCCAAAGTGTGACTTGCGGAGTTCAGCAGCTTACAGCACCCCCGTGGTGACGCAGGATTCCCAGCAGCACGCGGGGATTTATATTCTCCGAGACACACCATCTAATTGCAACGGCAGGGCAGCTGCAGTCTGCTCCTGGTGTGTTGCCTTTGCAGCTTTTGGCTATGAGATCTTAGGCCCCTCTGCACTTGTCCCACTGCTCTCGCCCATGCTCACAGGAGCACATCCATGGTCATACATTCATTCGGTGTGCATCTTCAGAGCAATTTGCACTTCTTTTTTAAGCAGACGTTGAGGCGTCTGCGTATCACATTGGGACATTGGTATAATCTGTGCCAGAATATCCCCTGACAACTCCACAGTACATGAATTCAATGAGAGATAACTGTGCTTTGCCAAATCCCCAAATCATTATTCTTCTAATTGCCACACAGTTGTGTGTGTGTACCGTAGTGTGATTATATATAACCTTTTTAACGTCTGCCAACTTCAGAGGATAAAATCACAGTGCTGCATATCAACAAAACCCAGCATACCCAGCCTCCAATATAAAATAATTTATATACACAAAGCAGAATTTGCATCTTAAATAAGAAGAGATTGTCTCATTCTCTATGGTTTCTTACCCAGCTACTAAAAAATAAATAATTCACATCAGATTGATGGATTTGTTTCCTGTACAGCACACGTGCGCTATCGGAGCTGACAAAGACAACATGAAAAAACCTTTTGTAATTAATAAAAGAGAATTGTTGAACACTTGCACATATTGGCACAAGGCAGAAGAGAAAAGGGAACGTTACACAGCTCAGCTCAGGTGCCCTCCTCCGTGGAGCGGGACTCAGATTTCAACTTCACAAATTCTCTAGCGACTTCATCATTGGTTCTTTGAGAGAGAATCCTCAGGACTGTAAGTCCAGTCTCATCCATATGAATCCTGCGCCCGAGGGGGCACCAGCAAGCACAGCTCCCTTTGTCCACTATGTCTCTAAGCTGCATCACTGCTATCCCCAGTACCCGGTCCTCCCGAGCAAAGCAGTAATCCTTCACACAGACTTGGAGCTCGTAGGCATCAGGGCCGTCTTCGTTCCCCAGTATGCTGAAACACACACAGAGGTTTACTTACAGTTTCTCAGAATGTACAAATTCCTCTGCAAAATAAAGGTGTCAGCAGCTGACTAGAGTGCTTAGATGAGCCACAGAAAACTCCTTTCTGTAGAAAACCCCGGTCAGAGAGGGAGAAGGAAAACCTATGGCCTATGGACATTTTTGCTGTTTTGCAGCTGATAAAGACAACCTGGCTCCTTAAAAACGAACAACCATTACCAAGTTGCCTTCGCATGTGCATGCGTGTTAAACTGTGAAATGAGAGGAGTGGAGAACATTAAAGCCATGCTAACCGATTTTCAACTCAGATGACTTTAAACGTTTCTGCTTCTGGTCAGGGTTGCTTCACTTCAGTAATTAATATTTTAATTAGATGAAGTCTTTATTAAAAATTCAGAACCTTCCATTAAAGCAAAAGCTAATAAAATATATCCCCATCTTTCTGATGTTTCTAAAATTAAAAGAATAAAAAAAAAAGGGACAGAATCCCTTTACTTAGAGGAAGCCTGCCTTTCCTCACATCAAAGAAAATTTATATGGACAGTCCCTCTCCTCCGAGATGTTTACGGTCTTTTGCTGGTCATCTCTTCTCCTCTCATTCTTAGTGTACAGCTGGGTGAGCACTAGTCTGTAGCTCCCTTTGTGGAGCCTTCCAAGGAGGAAGATGTCTTTGTAATTATGAAAGCCAGATAAGAAGAGTTCAATACTCGGTGTTAAGAAAGACCGCAATTTTAGCAGTGCAACTTACTACCAGTGCTAAGGGCTGTATCCTTGGAAACAAGTTCAGAAAGCACGTCCCACAGGTCAAGTTGGGATAAAACCACACATTAAGATTAAAAGAACTAAAAATACATAATGAACTTTTAGCCCTAACTCTACCAATAAAAGACACAAAGTTCATTAAAACGATGGAGCACCATAAAATATGTTGATAGGACAAACAACGCATTTCAGAAGGTAGCCAAAGGACACTGCTGGTACAGAACAGACCTCAGCATCCCACCCACAGCAAAAACTCCCATAATCTAGCTCTTCCTGTCAAGACACCAAACACTTGGCCTAGCTACTGGTTCAAGTACTCTTTTGGGCCCTGAGCAGGCTGTTTGTGGACACTGGAAAACTCTTATCTGTCCTCTGCATCTGCACTTGCCACGTCAGATCCCCAGGCTATTTTTCACACTTACAAGTGAAAGGTTTCATTGTATTTGGGAGCCCAGTTGTTGCTCTTTGACTTGGTTGTGAACTTCCTCTTCTTGTCACTCTGATGGGGCCCAATCATGGTGATTTCAACGAATGGACGGAACATGCCAGACGTTTGCCACTTCAGGTCATTGGCTGCCACAACTGGAAAAGAGAGTCACAAGCGGTTTTACAGTAAATACTCATTTGTTGCTATTGCTCTGAACACCTTTCCACTCTGCTCTGCTTTCAATTTCTTGTTTCAAAGGACAAAGTCCAACTCAAAACATGCGAGTGTCCCAGCACACATGGGCAGGACTGTTTTGTAATATAAAGATACGCTTTTTTGCTCTTAAGTTCTGTAAAGGGAATTTAATGCTTGGGACAGCACTTAGCTTTTGCCATATGCACAGTCAAGAAATTAGTCCAAAAAACCAGGCATTCATGCAGCTCCGGGCAGGCTGCCCTGCCAGTTCAATGCTTAAGTCTACATTATGTGTGGGATGAGAAAAAAAAATGGGCATTTTGGGGGCCAATATTAAGGTCTCTGTTGAAAAGGAAAATGAGACTGCAGGTAAGACAAACAGAGCCCATGAGCTGTGGGTGGTTCCAGAACCCAGAATTATTAGCTCTTTAATTCTCATTCTCTCTCAAGTCACTGCAGGGAGCAGACTGAAGCACAGGAAATAGCTCTGAAAATCAGTTTTTGCATTGCAGTGTAGATTTAGCCAGGAGAAGAGAGGCCTGAAGAGCTGTTTATATAAATCTTTAGAGGAAATTAAAGTAGTTAAATATGCTATATTCGAGCAAAGGAGACGAAGGAGGAAGACGACGCCCGGGATGAATCACTGCTTTGGTTATTTTCAGCGTAGCTCTTCAGGGACCAGTGTGGCCTTCAGGATGGGGGAGAGGAGCCTCTGAACTCTTGCTGGCTCTGTGATCTCTCAGTTTACACTGAGCAATTCTGCAACATCGCCCTGTCATGCTGCCCTGTTCTCTGCAGCACAGGCTAAACTGTGGCGCCTGGTTAGAGCCATCGTCTGATTTTTGTTTACTTTGTGAATCGTTGCCAATAAACAACAGGACTGTACATTGCCATGTCACTGGCTGGACTGGACAAGCTCATTTGCTGTTTCTCTACATGTTCCTGATGTGAAACAGAAAAACCAATTTTTGATTCACAGAATCATAGAGTAGTTTGGGTTGGAAGGGACCTCTAAGGGTCATCTAGTCCAACCCCCCTGGCGTGGGCAGGGACATCTTCAACTAGATCAGGTTGCTCGGAGCCCCGTCCAACCTGACCTGGAATGTTTCCAGGGATGGGGCATCCACCACCTCTCTGGGCAACCTGTGCCAGTGTTTCACCACCCTCAGCGTCAAAAATTTCTTCCTTATAGCTAGTCTAAATCTACCCCCCTTTAGTTTAAAGTCATTCCCCCTTATCCTGTCGCATGAGCTAACACAGAAATACAATGACTGCCAACTGGAGATTTGCCTCGACAGTGTCACAGAGCCTGAGCAGTAACATGTGCTTTGCCATACCTTTCACTGTGACCTTGTGTTCACCAGTTCCTGGGTGGGTATACAGGTCAATCTGTATGGACACTTCACCCACAGGATCATCCACCCCAGAGCCTGTTGGAAGAAAATTGACACCCCCGTGCACATGCGGATTATTGTTTATTGGCACCCATCTTTGGTTCATGGCCTCAGCAAGACAATAGCATTTTCACAGTACACCTTCCATAGCCAGCTTTTCAGTCAACATCAATAATGTAACATTAATGCAAAATAACATCAGGCTTGCATGCCCAACACGCATAAACACTAACGTTTTTTGCACTCCACCATAAAGATCGCATCCTGTTGAGAATACTAGTAAGACTTTTACAAGAATTTGAGAGACCTAAAGCTCGACAGTGGACCCTCACAGAGAGCAAGGATTTTGCAGAGATTCCTGCCAAGCTATTGTGTGCACATGCAGGCATTCCAGCAGTGGGAATTGACATTCCTGTCCGCTCAGGGAAGAAGGGAGGACAAAAAAACCCAACAAAACAAAACAAAAAAACCCACACCAGAGAGGAAGTTTAGGAAAAAAAAAAGGACAAAGATGTTAGTGATTTGCACTGAGCCATAGTGCAGTCTCACCCTCCAAGAAGCTTTTTCCATGTTGTACATCAGATGAAAGTTGTCATCCCGACTGTCTATCTGCTTCCCTTCGGGGGATAATGAGAACCCCTTCACTGTTGTGCCCCAAAAATTATGAGAGAGAAGCACTCACAACTTGCATACTTACTTCCCTTCATCAGTTAGCCAGGGAGAAAACAAGACGTAGCTTCACAGAGGAAAAGACAACATGTTGTAACAGAGGGAGAAGATCTCATGAACGTTACAATTCGTATACTATGATGTTTTCAACTTTTTAACTTTTAATTGTAATTACCATGCAATATGTGGGAATGACATTTTTCTGGGTAGGAAAGTCAAGATGTCATGTAAATTACAGAAAAAGACTGCTTTGCAAAATGAAAATGAAGTCTTTGATAAGATAGTGAGATTGACTTTACTTTCTCTTTGATAACTGTCTGATCTCAGGTTGACAATTAGCAATGCTGTTGTAATTGGGTTACCTACAGGGTAATTGGGTACCTATGAACAGCAGTGTTATTCTGTCAGTTTTGAGGCTAAGACACATTACTAAGCGAAAGAATTGGTGTGTTTGAAATTCAAGATAAGGAGCTTGAAGGATGTCATTAAACAAACATTTTGATTAGATAGATCTAACAACGTCAACTTTCACAAGAACAGTCTGCAGGCAGCAAAAACACTCATTTAAAGACCAAGAGGTTGAGAGCTAATCTGTGCAATTCTCTGAAGAGAATTACATGGCACAGAACTGTAGGCAGTGAAAGTCACATTAATATACAAGTAAAAGTATCTGAGCAAACGTAACAGAACCTCAAATTATTATCTTAGGGTAGATTCTCATTCTTGACCTGCGTACAATAAACCGCCTCTAGGCTGTAACATTTGTCCATGATCTTGAATGTACTGTTTTCTCCCCGCTTAGAAGGGCAGTGTTCCTTCTTTTCTGTATATAAACACAGAGCTTTAAAATTGCTAGGCTTAATTATTGACCTGCCCCATCTGATGGTGCAAGTCTGTCACTTATACTGTCAGCATTTTCCATGGGAACAGACAAGATTACCAACAGTATGTAAGAACTTTATCAGGCCACATCTGCAGAAACATCAACCGCCAAACAGAGGTCATCTTTTTACTATCTTTAGTGTAATTAATAGGTTATAAATGAGACACTGATGCTTCAGAGGAATGACAGCAGAATCATCCCATTACCTTTGAGGGAGACAAAATTTAGATTTTTTTTTTTTCCCCTACCTTCATTCTTGTCTTTTCATACAAAAATCTTGTTCTATTAACTGAAATGTTCAGAGACAAAAAAACCACTTTGTAGATGGCCAGTGAAAAATATTCTGATCACATACAACTGTGTGTATACACATCCTTGCACATTTAGGGACAAGCAGATTTAAATATTGACATGAAAGTCTCATTGGTATTGCGATACTGGAAGGTGAAACTGCAGAACTCAGCTCGTGCTACGTGTTACAGATGTATTTCACCTAAGATAACAAAAAGACTTTGGACAGCAGAAAATAAACTGAGAGATGAAACAGAACAAGACTTAATTTTTTAGGGCTCTCCTGAGCACCCAGACTTTTAGCTACCCCCCCTTCAAGCCAGATGTTTCAAGCTCGGCCATAACCTTGAGTGCATATCAGACATTACCATGTATTACAGTAGCCCGTCTCAGCAGACCATATGCATGCAACTCTAGGACTTGAAACAGCAATACATAGCCCATGGCAAAGGGTAGGGGAACAAGTCCGTCGCATCTCTCAAAAAGCAGCCCATTTTTGAGTCAGCTTTCGCATCCCATGAATAAATCTCAAGCTCGGGGACAGGCTCTCAGGCAGGGTACAGACTTCTACACCGCACAACCCGTGGCTCCGTTTGTGGGATGCAAGCATTCAGTGAAAGTTCACTTCTACAGGGAGCTATGGGGAATGGGTCTCTGGAAAAGGTTTCTGAGCATGGGCAAGATGACTTCAAAAGCAAGGCAGCTGGTTAATGTTGTTATGGTAACAACATTAGTCTTGAACATACCCTTATCAGGAAGAACATCCTCATTAGCGGTAAACCTAATACCTTTCCCATCATGCACTGAGACATGAATTCAAAAGGCAAAAAGCAAGCAGGATAAAGAGAGAAGAGTGTGAATTACAATCCAATTAGTGGCGTCACTTAAACAAATACAAGACAAATATTCTAGCTCTTAATAGACAAGATATCCTCTTAGATCCTCTGCACCAACACAGGCTTTGGAGAGCAAGGCTGTCTGCGAATAAGGGATTGCCTGGGTTAAAACAAGAACAGAATTTGTGCTGGCGTAACTGAACTGCAAGCCCTGATCCAACTTTGTAGAGCAAACAGTTAACAGCATAGTGCTATAGAAGCCTGCTCAGTAAGAAAATGAGGTCAATACCTCACAAACCAGAAGATGCAACCATTGAGCAGTGAAGTGAGAGGGGCAAACAGTCAGCATTTAAATAGTTCTGCATGCAGCCATTTCCTCTCATAGGCTTGTGGGAAGCTTGACTTATGCAAAAGGAAACATCAGTCAGAGAGCTCTGGTAAGCAGATGTCAGCTGTAAATACTAGTTTTGTTCCTTCTGTCCCTCCAACGCATGTGCAGATCTCCAAACCAATCTACCAACGGGGGTTACCGAGAAGCGTATGCAAGCAATATCCTTTTCTAGCCCCAATCTCAGGAACGGAGCAAGTCATGCCTTTCTCAGAGATATTCCATCATTGATCCTACAGATATAGGTGGTGTAGCTCCAGTCTTTTGTTCCCCAAACAGGGCCCAAAACTCTCAAGCCTGCTAATGTAGAAGATGCTGATTTGGACCAGCTCAGTGGCCCGCCATGCCCAGAACCTGTCTCCTAAAGTGGCTCAGACGAGCCACAAAGAAACATCATCAGTCAGCTATGGGATATAATCGATGACCTTGTAACGAGTGCATCTTATGTCCTAAAACTAGAGCTTAATTCTTTCTAAGCTTCTTAAAAAAAATAAAAATACTCAACACACACACACACACACTTCTGTGGCAACTCTGTATATTCCTGCTGTTCTCAGATTATGTTCAACTCTTTGTGAATCTGCTAAACACTCACCCTCAGCGGAGTTTTACAGTCAAATCATGCACTGTATGAAGCTGCTTCCTTGTATCCGCTTTGAATTTGCCACTTTGCAACTTCAAGGCAGCATCTTCTTCCTCTAATTTTAAACATTCCTGACTGTAGCATGAAGTGTAGAACAGCAGTGCTGCACACATCCTTATATCTTGGCTCATCACGACAACATAATAGGATCCACATAAAAAACCTAGCTTCAATTAATGGTCTGGATATATAATGGGAAACATTTGCCATAGAACAGCAAAGATTGAAAACAAACTGTGCACACAAGTTCCCGGTTAAAAAGTGTTTGTATAACTCTAATGGCAACAGCCAAGTTCCCGGAGTCCCTTCTGGGTGTTGCAGTCTTTGACCTGTCTGGCCACTGGATGTCATCGTTGCTCTGCTGGGACACAGCTATAGGACCATTCTCTCAAATGCACGTACTGACTCTTTACTTAACTTCAGTTAAGTAAATATAATGCAGTATATTTCAACCTAAGCAAGAATATACCGTGCTGCCAAAGCAGGGATGATTCAGTCCCCCAAAACGACACTCAACTTTTCACTTTAAAACTTTTAAAACAAACCTGTTATGCTCAAGAATTCTCAGTACTTTCTCCACTGGTTGGGGAATGCCAGTATCAAGCAGCCGCATTTGCACACAAGGGAAAAGTGTGTTGGCTAGGGAGTACTTTCCCCTTGATTTCAGGGCTCGGTGTGGCAGTATGCTGACAGAGTTATTACAGTCTGAGGGGTCGCCAGCTCTCATAGGCTTGGAAAGATTAAAGGAAAAAGGACCCCAAGCAAAAAGGTGGCAGAAAGACACCCCCATGGAGTTGCATGACTTTTGCTGCTGAGATACAGTAGCCCAATGACAAGACTTGTATTTAAACAGCCTGAAAACTTAAAACATTAGTTTCAGTTTTGACCTAACCTCTAATAGCATCTGTCCCCTCTTACTGAGATTAGTGAGATTCATAGTCAGCCAGTGAAGGTCCCTGACTATAGACCAAATTATTCTGTACAACAATGAAAGCAGTGAAAGAGAGAGACAATTAACTGTTTACCCCTTCCAAATCAATGAAATGGCACTACTATCATGCCTTGCCAGAGAGCTACCAGAGAACTCCAGTGACGCATCCCAGCAGCTTACCAACATGTTGTGATGATTTGTAATCACCTAGCTCGCTCATATCCTGTACTGGCTGCAGACAAAACAGTGCTTTTGTTACTCTCCTGAGAGACTTTTCCCTTTACAGGCAGTGTGCAGCTCTGTGACTTATCACGTCACTGTCAATCAGTCTTAGTCAGACCTACATGGGCTGCTGGCAGCTGGCCTGTGACACAGGCACCGACTAGTTTCTGCATGGTGTCTTGCTGAAATGGTCTCTCTGTAAGTCTCAGTACAGTAACTTCAAATTTCACTTCTTTTAAGTCACCCATCCACTTTAATTCATGAAACATGACTGTTAAATGAGGATTGCAGAAAAAAAGATCACAAACACCCCAGGACTTATGTTTCACATATTTCTGCTCTCTCAAAATGTAGTTGTTGAGTCGGAAATAACCCCCTTTCCCTCCTTCCCAGTTTCAAAAGCTCTGAACTGTCACGTTTCCAGAAATGTTACTGCCAAAAGCACTCTACAAACTGGCAGAACAAGTCAGAGCAATTACTAACAGAGCAGATAGCTCCATTCAACTTTGCCAACAACACAAAAGAGTCTTACCCTGCGCTGTCTGAGTCTGGACAAAGGTTTTTATGAGAGTGTCTGTGGTCTGAGTGTAGAGAGAGAGAGCATATCGAAGTGACTGCAGGTCTGGACTCTTCTCCAAGAAGGTTTTCTTCAGACCATTCCCACCAGCATGGAAATATTGCTAGGAGTAAAAAGAAAGAGGAAAAATACTGAGGAAGAATTGCAACCAGCAACCAACATTTACAGGCTATAGTGTGTGTGGATGGGAAAGAGCTGGAAAAATTCACAAAACAGCTTCTGTTCCGGAAATCCAGCTCTTAGACCAACCGATACCAATTGATCATGGCTCTCCTCTTCCAAAGCACTTAAATATAAATATGCTGGCTCCCAGCACATGCCAGTCACCTGAGCCTATTCAGGTTTACACAAACATGGCAGTATCACTCACTCAGTGCCATTATCGCTGCAACAGCAGCGACAAACACCTCCCCCCTCCCTGAAAACAAGACGTAGCTTCACAGAGGAAAAGACAACATGTTGTAACAGAGGGAGAAGATCTCATGAACGTTACAATTCGTGTACTATGATGTTTTCAACTTTTTAACTTTTAATTGTAATTACCATGCAATATGTGGGAATGACATTTTTCTGGGTAGGAAAGTCAAGATGTCATGTAAATTACAGAAAAAGACTGCTTTGCAAAATGAAAATGAAGTCTTTGATAAGATAGTGAGATTGACTTTACTTTCTCTTTGATAACTGTCTGATCTCAGGTTGACAATTAGCAATGCTGTTGTAATTGGGTTACCTACAGGGTAATTGGGTACCTATGAACAGCAGTGTTATTCTGTCAGTTTTGAGGCTAAGACACATTACTAAGCGAAAGAATTGGTGTGTTTGAAATTCAAGATAAGGAGCTTGAAGGATGTCATTAAACAAACATTTTGATTAGATAGATCTAACAACGTCAACTTTCACAAGAACAGTCTGCAGGCAGCAAAAACACTCATTTAAAGACCAAGAGGTTGAGAGCTAATCTGTGCAATTCTCTGAAGAGAATTACATGGCACAGAACTGTAGGCAGTGAAAGTCACATTAATATACAAGTAAAAGTATCTGAGCAAACGTAACAGAACCTCAAATTATTATCTTAGGGTAGATTCTCATTCTTGACCTGCGTACAATAAACCGCCTCTAGGCTGTAACATTTGTCCATGATCTTGAATGTACTGTTTTCTCCCCGCTTAGAAGGGCAGTGTTCCTTCTTTTCTGTATATAAACACAGAGCTTTAAAATTGCTAGGCTTAATTATTGACCTGCCCCATCTGATGGTGCAAGTCTGTCACTTATACTGTCAGCATTTTCCATGGGAACAGACAAGATTACCAACAGTATGTAAGAACTTTATCAGGCCACATCTGCAGAAACATCAACCGCCAAACAGAGGTCATCTTTTTACTATCTTTAGTGTAATTAATAGGTTATAAATGAGACACTGATGCTTCAGAGGAATGACAGCAGAATCATCCCATTACCTTTGAGGGAGACAAAATTTAGATTTTTTTTTTTTCCCCTACCTTCATTCTTGTCTTTTCATACAAAAATCTTGTTCTATTAACTGAAATGTTCAGAGACAAAAAAACCACTTTGTAGATGGCCAGTGAAAAATATTCTGATCACATACAACTGTGTGTATACACATCCTTGCACATTTAGGGACAAGCAGATTTAAATATTGACATGAAAGTCTCATTGGTATTGCGATACTGGAAGGTGAAACTGCAGAACTCAGCTCGTGCTACGTGTTACAGATGTATTTCACCTAAGATAACAAAAAGACTTTGGACAGCAGAAAATAAACTGAGAGATGAAACAGAACAAGACTTAATTTTTTAGGGCTCTCCTGAGCACCCAGACTTTTAGCTACCCCCCTTCAAGCCAGATGTTTCAAGCTCGGCCATAACCTTGAGTGCATATCAGACATTACCATGTATTACAGTAGCCCGTCTCAGCAGACCATATGCATGCAACTCTAGGACTTGAAACAGCAATACATAGCCCATGGCAAAGGGTAGGGGAACAAGTCCGTCGCATCTCTCAAAAAGCAGCCCATTTTTGAGTCAGCTTTCGCATCCCATGAATAAATCTCAAGCTCGGGGACAGGCTCTCAGGCAGGGTACAGACTTCTACACCGCACAACCCGTGGCTCCGTTTGTGGGATGCAAGCATTCAGTGAAAGTTCACTTCTACAGGGAGCTATGGGGAATGGGTCTCTGGAAAAGGTTTCTGAGCATGGGCAAGATGACTTCAAAAGCAAGGCAGCTGGTTAATGTTGTTATGGTAACAACATTAGTCTTGAACATACCCTTATCAGGAAGAACATCCTCATTAGCGGTAAACCTAATACCTTTCCCATCATGCACTGAGACATGAATTCAAAAGGCAAAAAGCAAGCAGGATAAAGAGAGAAGAGTGTGAATTACAATCCAATTAGTGGCGTCACTTAAACAAATACAAGACAAATATTCTAGCTCTTAATAGACAAGATATCCTCTTAGATCCTCTGCACCAACACAGGCTTTGGAGAGCAAGGCTGTCTGCGAATAAGGGATTGCCTGGGTTAAAACAAGAACAGAATTTGTGCTGGCGTAACTGAACTGCAAGCCCTGATCCAACTTTGTAGAGCAAACAGTTAACAGCATAGTGCTATAGAAGCCTGCTCAGTAAGAAAATGAGGTCAATACCTCACAAACCAGAAGATGCAACCATTGAGCAGTGAAGTGAGAGGGGCAAACAGTCAGCATTTAAATAGTTCTGCATGCAGCCATTTCCTCTCATAGGCTTGTGGGAAGCTTGACTTATGCAAAAGGAAACATCAGTCAGAGAGCTCTGGTAAGCAGATGTCAGCTATAAATACTAGTTTTGTTCCTTCTGTCCCTCCAACGCATGTGCAGATCTCCAAACCAATCTACCAACGGGGGTTACCGAGAAGCGTATGCAAGCAATATCCTTTTCTAGCCCCAATCTCAGGAACGGAGCAAGTCATGCCTTTCTCAGAGATATTCCATCATTGATCCTACAGATATAGGTGGTGTAGCTCCAGTCTTTTGTTCCCCAAACAGGGCCCAAAACTCTCAAGCCTGCTAATGTAGAAGATGCTGATTTGGACCAGCTCAGTGGCCCGCCATGCCCAGAACCTGTCTCCTAAAGTGGCTCAGACGAGCCACAAAGAAACATCATCAGTCAGCTATGGGATATAATCGATGACCTTGTAACGAGTGCATCTTATGTCCTAAAACTAGAGCTTAATTCTTTCTAAGCTTCTTAAAAAAAATAAAAATACTCAACACACACACACACACACTTCTGTGGCAACTCTGTATATTCCTGCTGTTCTCAGATTATGTTCAACTCTCTTTGTGAATCTGCTAAACACTCACCCTCAGCGGAGTTTTACAGTCAAATCATGCACTGTATGAAGCTGCTTCCTTGTATCCGCTTTGAATTTGCCACTTTGCAACTTCAAGGCAGCATCTTCTTCCTCTAATTTTAAACATTCCTGACTGTAGCATGAAGTGTAGAACAGCAGTGCTGCACACATCCTTATATCTTGGCTCATCACGACAACATAATAGGATCCACATAAAAAACCTAGCTTCAATTAATGGTCTGGATATATAATGGGAAACATTTGCCATAGAACAGCAAAGATTGAAAACAAACTGTGCACACAAGTTCCCGGTTAAAAAGTGTTTGTATAACTCTAATGGCAACAGCCAAGTTCCCGGAGTCCCTTCTGGGTGTTGCAGTCTTTGACCTGTCTGGCCACTGGATGTCATCGTTGCTCTGCTGGGACACAGCTATAGGACCATTCTCTCAAATGCACGTACTGACTCTTTACTTAACTTCAGTGGTTTAATGCAGTATATTTCAACCTAAGCAAGAATATACCGTGCTGCATATACCGTGCTGCCAAAGCAGGGATGATTCAGTCCCCCAAAACGACACTCAACTTTTCACTTTAAAACTTTTAAAACAAACCTGTTATGCTCAAGAATTCTCAGTACTTTCTCCACTGGTTGGGGAATGCCAGTATCAAGCAGCCGCATTTGCACACAAGGGAAAAGTGTGTTGGCTAGGGAGTACTTTCCCCTTGATTTCAGGGCTCGGTGTGGCAGTATGCTGACAGAGTTATTACAGTCTGAGGGGTCGCCAGCTCTCATAGGCTTGGAAAGATTAAAGGAAAAAGGACCCCAAGCAAAAAGGTGGCAGAAAGACACCCCCATGGAGTTGCATGACTTTTGCTGCTGAGATACAGTAGCCCAATGACAAGACTTGTATTTAAACAGCCTGAAAACTTAAAACATTAGTTTCAGTTTTGACCTAACCTCTAATAGCATCTGTCCCCTCTTACTGAGATTAGTGAGATTCATAGTCAGCCAGTGAAGGTCCCTGACTATAGACCAAATTATTCTGTACAACAATGAAAGCAGTGAAAGAGAGAGACAATTAACTGTTTACCCCTTCCAAATCAATGAAATGGCACTACTATCATGCCTTGCCAGAGAGCTACCAGAGAACTCCAGTGACGCATCCCAGCAGCTTACCAACATGTTGTGATGATTTGTAATCACCTAGCTCGCTCATATCCTGTACTGGCTGCAGACAAAACAGTGCTTTTGTTACTCTCCTGAGAGACTTTTCCCTTTACAGGCAGTGTGCAGCTCTGTGACTTATCACGTCACTGTCAATCAGTCTTAGTCAGACCTACATGGGCTGCTGGCAGCTGGCCTGTGACACAGGCACCGACTAGTTTCTGCATGGTGTCTTGCTGAAATGGTCTCTCTGTAAGTCTCAGTACAGTAACTTCAAATTTCACTTCTTTTAAGTCACCCATCCACTTTAATTCATGAAACATGACTGTTAAATGAGGATTGCAGAAAAAAAGATCACAAACACCCCAGGACTTATGTTTCACATATTTCTGCTCTCTCAAAATGTAGTTGTTGAGTCGGAAATAACCCCCTTTCCCTCCTTCCCAGTTTCAAAAGCTCTGAACTGTCACGTTTCCAGAAATGGTACTGCCAAAAGCACTCTACAAACTGGCAGAACAAGTCAGAGCAATTACTAACAGAGCAGATAGCTCCATTCAACTTTGCCAACAACACAAAAGAGTCTTACCCTGCGCTGTCTGAGTCTGGACAAAGGTTTTTATGAGAGTGTCTGTGGTCTGAGTGTAGAGAGAGAGAGCATATCGAAGTGACTGCAGGTCTGGACTCTTCTCCAAGAAGGTTTTCTTCAGACCATTCCCACCAGCATGGAAATATTGCTAGGAGTAAAAAGAAAGAGGAAAAATACTGAGGAAGAATTGCAACCAGCAACCAACATTTACAGGCTATAGTGTGTGTGGATGGGAAAGAGCTGGAAAAATTCACAAAACAGCTTCTGTTCCGGAAATCCAGCTCTTAGACCAACCGATACCAATTGATCATGGCTCTCCTCTTCCAAAGCACTTAAATATAAATATGCTGGCTCCCAGCACATGCCAGTCACCTGAGCCTATTCAGGTTTACACAAACATGGCAGTATCACTCACTCAGTGCCATTATCGCTGCAACAGCAGCGACAGACTCCTGCCATCTCCTGAACTGGGACAGGCGCTATCCTCCCAAATAGTATTTAGGGATAGAGCAAGGGGATGACAGAGACAGAAATGGAATCACTTACTTTGATAGTATCCAGTGCCAGATCCAAAACAGCACACTGCTTTGGAGTGAGACTCCTAGTTTCTTCTCTCACCATATGATCCTGCAAACAACCATTGTATTTGACATGAGTATGCTGTCAGAGACTAAAGGAAAAGAGTCCCCAGTCTCACCTCTTTCTCTGGATTCATGCTGTGGCTACATGGCCACAGCATTAATTCAGCTGTTAAAGGAATGCTTAATGGAGTCTCTCACAGTCATTTACTACAGCTTAACTTGAAAATAAACCTACTTTCTCCATTTCTGGCAGGCACAGAAGAGAGAAATAAAGAAAAGAACTGGACAGAGATAAGTGACAATTTAATATCACAGTTTGTCTCTCAGAAAACCCAAACAGGAACCTGCTTACTACCCCTATCATTCTAGAGCAGCCACAACAAAACTCTCAAGACACCACCTAAATCAAGGAATTCTGAGAACCAGATATTGGGAAAAGTTGTTAGATGTTGGTTGTGGATTTTTTTTTAATTCTTCCACCTACAAAGGTCACTAACTCATCATATTGTTGGTGTAGAGGAAGAAAAACAAACAAACAAGCAAGCAACATGTTCTAGAAAATACCTTTGCTAAAAGAAGTTGCTCCCATAAAAACTCACCACCTCTAATAGCAAAGAGCCAGGAATTCCTTGAGAAGGGATTCCCCCCTCCTGCAGTGGGAGTGTATCCCTGTTAAGACTCCTGCCTGACTACAAGGATGTGTCACCCTTTGGTATTTAACTAAGCTCTTTCTCTCTGATGCTTGGTCTAGGTGTCAGGGAAAACCAGCATATTTTAGGAAGCGAAAGCTTTGCACAAACCCAAATTCTAACTGTCTGAGCTGCTGGAGGGTCAGGAGAGCTGGCTGCAGCCTGGGTGCTGAAGCATTCATGAAAAAGATGCAGGCAAATCAGGCAAAGGCTACTTATCCCTACCTTAAACGTGTCATAGCCTCTGATAAGAGGCACTTTCCAGGAGACATGTCTACTAAATTGTCTTTGAGTAAAGCATGCCTAGTGTGTGGCATCATGTGCGCATTTCACGCTGATAAGCCTGCTGGCTATCTTGCAGTCTAGTGATTTTTCACATTGCCTGGTACTGTTCCCATTCATTATCCTCCACGATCCACCTACTGCCTGCTGGAGATGGGGCTCACTGCAGACTAGGCACAGTGCTAAGCATTTGCCACGCCTCTCAGACATCTAGCTAGCACCTTTGCACAGTGCTGCGTGAAACTGTACTGAAGATGCCTCTCAAGTCAGCAGTACCTCAGACAAGTTTGCACTGCGCTTTCTTGAGTACCAGAGACATGCCTGAACTTGCCTCTTTTCCCCACGCAGGCTGCTTCTGGTCTGCAAAGCTATGGGCAGTGGCACACTACTCTGTAAGCTGCAAAGTATCTTCTGTTGCGACAAGCTGTCCTTAGGGGAGCAATAGCTCTCCTCCCTCTTCTTCATGAGCTGGGAGTAACTCAATTGAAGATGATGTGGCTTCACACTTCAGTACACAGAGGGTAAAACATTCTTTCTCTGTCTGACAGTCAGATTAAGTGCACAATCAGCCAGAGCCCAAAGCCACGTTCATGGGAGAGGCCAATTTAGTCAGGGTAGCTGTGTCCCCAAGGCAGAGTGACTTTCATGTCTGTTGAAATGACTTTCTAGGTCTGCCTGCCAGATTCACCACACTGCCAGAAAACGGGTGGTCAGCATTTTTCTCTTAAACACCTAAAGAGCTCATTCAGCCCCGCTCTGAGCGGTCACCCCACAAATGCCCATGCAGTCATTGCACGGTAACACGTCACTACTTTCTAAGAGGGTTTCCCAGTGCCATTTACTTCAACACATTATGTAAAAATAACCCAGCAACTGGACTGGTAATGCTTGCACCTATATACAGAGGAGCCCATGACTGTCATTCCCCTGCATACCTGCCCTCTGCAAATCCCACACTGTTCCTATAAAGGACTGCGCAGAGTGCTACCCTGCACTTCCCAGATTGCCAGCAAGGAGCAAGCCACAAATATTTACATGAAATAATTATGCAACTTCAAGCAGAAGAAGTTAAAAAAAAAAAAAATCTTTTCCTGGTGTCTCAGACTCATCCTTGTATTCTCCACAGGTACTCTCAGAAGAACCTCTGCGGTCAGAGCTCAGCTGGTTACCCTGGGGGCAGCGCAAGGGAGAGGAGGCTGCTGCTCCCTGCTCCAGCTGCTGGCTATTAAGCAAACCAAGCAGAAAGAGTTTGATAATAAATGGAAGGCAGATATGTGGCACCAAGGTGCCAGGTTTATGGTTGGTTTTCTGAGCATTTTAAAAAACACTGTGAAATTGATTTGTCATCAGGACAAAAGCCTGTGCTTGTCAGGTCTGTCAGTCTCAGTTTTCAGCTGAGTTATCTGATTCACTAAGGCTCTGTTCCCCCTGTTCTATTTAGGACAAATAAAGCTTAAAATCCATCCCATAATTTTCCCAGGCTTTTAGAGGAACTGCAAAATGCACAGGAGAGGGGCTCTGAAGAGCCATTTACTCATGCCTTCCCCGTTAGCTTATATGTGCCCGCAAAAACAAAAGGAAAAAAAAAAAATATCCATGATGCTTACACAGACCCAAACAATTTACACTCCTGTAACACCTTTACTCTTCTGGAAATTTTTGGTCACAATGTTGTTTCACACTATCTGTCTGAACTAAAGGTCTCCAGAATTCAGGTGGAGAGTGCTTTAACACTTGTGTACGGCTCTCTCGCCACATATAAAAACCTGTGTACCTGTGCTGCTGTAGTCCTATACGTGGATATGCAAATAAAGGCTTGAACACACACCAGGGCTTGCCTGATTTGCATGATTACGTGCATTCCTAAAAATGCAGTCCAGTGTTACCAAAGTTACCAAAGCTTTACAATAACTGAACTGAAGACAGGCTGCTGCTGAGGCATGGCCTTCATCTGACCAGTGTGAATGGAAACCAGCAAAGCTTCCAACTCATTCCTGGCAAAAAGCACCTTGTATATATTAAGAAATTCCAGTAACGAGAAAATATGGAAGAAGCAAAAGATAACAGTGAATGTCATTGGCTACGCCTGAGAATACAAGCAAGCCACAGGAACTCGCAGTCGTCTGTGCACAAACTTGTCCTTGTGACCTGGGAGGAGAAACAGAGCAAATTCAGAGCTCTCCCCCTTTGACACCAGGAGCACATGTAGAGGGCGGGGATGGCTTCTCTTCCTCCAAATGCTGGGTTCTTGCTGAAGTTTTTGAAAGGGGAAGGGGATACTCACAGGAAAAGGGAGTCACATTTGGAGGCTCTGGTCCAGCTCCCACTCTCCCCACTTTGGCTACAAAGCTCCTCTCTCCCCATTTCTCCCATGGAAGCGACACAGAGCATTGTAAGCGCAGGAAGCAGCGGAGGCAGTGCAATCCTCAGGAACCACCACGTCACCAGGGAGGACAGCCAGGCTGTGGGAGTGCATGGGGCTGTCCCCCAGCACTAGCGACAGCTATTCCCCTGGGGAACCACACTTGAAGGTTTATGTTATGCCACTGTTAACTGCTATTTAACAGCCTCAAAATGCAGCTGGAGAAAAGTGTGTGCATCTAATGACACACTTGCATGTCCAGATCACTTACTGGGATTGCTAATAAGCACTACCTTAAATGAATTGTGTACTGCCCTGGCTCATAAACATGTGTACGTAAAATGTGTCTGCTGGGCAAGGGAAATAGATAAGTCGTATAAAGACATCTGTAATAAGTGCACAAGACAAAAAAATTATGGGAAAAGACAAATGCATTTTGAAATAGCACTAGTCACTTAGGAGAATGCCCTTTGCTGTGGGAAGATTTCCCTGACCACGCTTCGAGACAAAGTTCATGTTCAGCTCCGTCTTCCTTGCAGCACAGTTTGTGCACTGATGCTTCAGACTTAGACCCTCTCTTGTACAATACCTGTTTTGTAGCACAAGTCAAATCACAACATAGTGCAATTTGAATGTTGTAAGGCGTCACTATTTTCATACCATTCCTGTCGTGAACAGTGAATTAATGCTTGATTGGCTTATGATGAGGTGGTGTGCACTTAGTAATGTTCATGTCATGCACTGTCATGTCATGCACTGTCAAAACACATCAACATAGCCTTCATGATAAATGCCAGCTTGCCTGTAAAGAGAACCCACGCAGAAGGAATTTACAGACACAGGTTCTCTTCCATAAGCAACAGTTATTTTTGTAACAGTTCATAGAATGCATCGATAGCTAGCGCAATTGTCTTTCCAACCGATATCTCATTATTAGGATCACATAAGGGACTCCCTTTTATACATGGGGATACAGAGGAACTGGCCAGATATTGAGAACTCTACTTTTTTCATTTTAAATTGATACACCAAACTGATCACTGTATCTACAGAAGAGAGAAACTACTTTGATGATTAAACCCACAATAAAATTTAACAGTTAAACACAATACTAATGTTAGCAAAATGCATTTAAAAGCACGTTTAATGCATTTAAAAGCGTTTCTCTACAAGTGCGTTCAGTCACAAACCACTGGAAGCACAAGACATGCTATGTGCTACTACACTTCCATGCTTACACACACGAACATTAACACAAGCCACACAGAACAATACCTTCAACTTTGATAAGTGTCCCAGTTCCTTAGCAGCACTGAAAATCAACTGTGTGCCCTATGATTGCAAGAAGTTAGAAAAGAAAGGAAGGGGGGGGGGGGGGAAAGATTATAAACAGGCTTTGCATGTTTTTCCTCTGAGCAAGTCAAGTCAGTTCACAGACAGAACTTTACATAACCACCCCAAGGCCAGTCACAACAAGTTGACTCCTTGCCAGTTTATTACCTAGTATAAAACCTGGCATTTCCGTGGATACCACATCAAGAGCTATTTCGGAGCACAATATTCTGCTAACTGGTTCACTCTTGCTTACAGCGGCCACCCATTTAAACAGGATGTGCCTTCAAATGGATTGCACAGGCTGGGTATGAAGGCAGTGCGCTGGCTTCGTCTGCAAGTGCTCCTCTAGATTTCAAGTCACGTCTAAATACACATGAGGATGGCATAAGACCGGCCAAAGCAAAAGGTCACACAACTGATGACAATCTCACTATAGAAGTAGAGCCCAAGCAATAGGGTGAGGGTAAGAATACATCAGATCAAAACCAAAACTGGATCTGAGCAGTTTTTGTGTGAGAGAGTGGCAAAGTCCAGTGAATACTACAGCATCACTTTTACATGTCAAAAGCTTGGTAATGGCTCTTCTTCCCCCACTGTGGGTTACTGATGCTGTATAACCAATGAAGAAACAAAAAGGGAATATAAATCCCAATGATGGAAAATCTTGCTTCAAGTCACTTACACTCTAGTATAATGGATTTTTACATACTTTCCCTGCAATGGTTATAAGAAAGATATTTTTCCTTTTCCGCACCACAGCATTTCTCTGTTGTGTAATATTCCTTTTGCCTGGGGAGTTAAGTCCAAAATTTAATGAGAAAGCCAAAAGCAAACAACACAATTCTCCAGCCTCTTCTCCCAGAGATGCTTTATGGGGTGTGCTGGAATTTATTTTCTCCCACTTTGCTCCTTTTCATTCATCTAATCTTGCCTTTTTCTTTAAAAAAGTCACAACTGCCTATTACTTGACTTGGAATAAAACCCCAGCCTACTGTAATTCTGGCTATGAATTATGCATCTATCATATCATGAAACTTTGCCTTCCACTTCAGCCCTCTTAGGCTAGCCAGATTTGGGCTTCAGGACCAAGCCAAAGCTATGGGTGACCCCTCTTCCCTAACTAAACCTCCCCTCTATTATCTCTCTCAGGAATGCCTTAGGTATGTCAGGAAAGCTGCCCTCTCAAAGATGATCTTCGGCTCTCCTCACTTGTAATCGGTCATTAGAGGATAGCGTTAAAAGTACTTGTAAACATCACCATAGCTATCTATCAGTTGAGAAGTACCTGGGGGATGTCCCAGCTGAATGCCTGAAATAAGCTTCCAGGTACAGACACTGGTGGTTGGCACTTTACAGTAGGGTCTTTTTGCTCAGGAAAACAGTTGGGAGAAGATGAAGCTCATCTTATTTGGAGACTGCTGGCTCCATGAGGACCATGTTTCCCCAGAGGTCTCCAGTTCTCATCTCCAGTTCTCATTTCCACAGCCCTCATTCCCCCTCCTTTACTATCCTTTCTCATCTCAACAGTCTTTCCCCTCCCACTGAACTACAACTGCCATGACCACTCCCCACCCCGAAATCCCTCAAACTGTAATGAAGCAAGATGTAAAACCAGAATTATTATATTGCCCTTTGCCCCTGCCTGTGCCACTCAGCTTCTTTTCTTCGCTGCCTTCTTTGGTATTTATTTGTTGCGTTTTAAGTCAGTACTCTGTGGAGCAGGAACTACCCCATACATGCATTTGCAGAGGAGACTCTGGGAACTAGGCTCTTCTGCAGAGATCATTGCTGAAACTGCTTTTTTTCCTAGGATTAAAGTTAACATCAGCCCCACTGATGGGTTTCCCTCAGCAAAAAAGTGCCTTTATACTTGTTGCTAGAGGTAGCAGGTACCCTTTTACAGAAGGAAAGCAGGCAAACAGTTTACAGCTGTAGCACTGAAAAGACTGAGACCTGCTCTAGGGTCACTGGACACCCTCTTCCCATTAAAACAGCAGTCCCAAAGTGAATTTTTAGATGAGATACTTTTTCTTTAGTTTTGCCAGCTTCAGAAGTGTCTTCAAGCTGAAAGACACTGTGACCTGAGATCACAGACAACCTCTTGATTTGCTCTATCCGTAACCATCACCCAACACTCACTGTTCCTCAGCCTTTACGTTTGTTGAATACAAATCAATACGGAATGAACTTTATTGACTTCGTAGCTAAACAGAAGCTCTTGATAATTGATTAAATTCACAACTCTTGGTGGGGAAAAAAGTGCAGGCAAGGACAACACCTTGTTGAGCTTGGGAGCTTCACTTGCTGCCAGTATCTAATGTGCAGTGTTACAGTACAACTCCCTAAACGGAAAGAGTACAAAATTCTCTCTATTTCCAGCAAGCGAGGTTGAACATGACTGCACACCAGGAGCAACACAGAGATTTCACTGTGGGCCACACCAAGTAATCCACCAAGGGACACGGCTTCAGCCAGCGCTCTGGTACCCAACAGATGCGCCCACTGTTCTGTATGATCGGTCACGAAGTTTGTTTGACTTATGGGTCTTAAAACTTAAGGTTTTCATGCCTGTTGACCAAGCAGAAAAAAAATATTAACATTTTTATAACCTGAATTCTGAAAAAGTTAAGCGAGCAGTCTCAAAACACACTAATGTTAACATTTCTTGATCCGGTATTTTCAACCTTCATTGGACACTTTTTTTTTTAATATAAATTTGAACAACTGCATTAACTAGCCTAGGCACATAGTCTCCCTGCCGCAGGCTTCTAAGGAGGGCAGGTTGGTAACACTGAGCAATACCCAGTGACTTGATACGCTTCAAGGAACAAAGCTGTTCGGATAACTACTCCTCAGTTCTTGCCTGATAAGAAAATCCTCATCAGTCAGCGCCAATCTCTGTCAATGTGTCTGCAAGGAGAAGTTATTTTACTGTTACATTGAGTTTGTCATCAATGCTGGTAACATCTAATGAAAATCTGGACAGCTCCTTCCTCTGCCAAATGGCATTCTTGTGAACACATGCTGTACCTCCTCAAAAAAGTTATTTATTCATGGGAAACATATCACAAAGCTCTACAGACAGCACTTATTCCAGGCGCACCTCTAGGGAATGAAAACAACTAAACTTAAATATAAGGTAGTTTTGAGAAAAGCTGCCCACAATGGAATTGATTAAAACATCAAGGATGGAAGATGAGGAAAAATTAAGTCCTTATTATGAATTGTTTCTGCCTTGCTCTGTGGCAAACGTAGCTGGAAAGGGGACAGACCTTAGTGCCGGTTTTCCGGGTTCTTCCCATGAAATTAGTTTTACCTTCCTAAGCTTTTTGGAAACATGAAAGACATCTATAGTCCACAACACAAAGATTTTATATTCCTTGTTAATGGTCTGACTGTTTTTTTCCCCTCAGTGAAAGCATTCAGGGAAGGATCATCAGCTGACTCAAGTCTAATTGCTAGAAGCCAACAGAACTGCACTGATTTATATTCCAAGAGGCTCAAACTCTCACAGCTTAACCGTCCTACTGCTCAGTTGACAAAGTTAGGGAACAAAAGCCTACTGCAAGTCTTTTGAATTCCAGTCCTTTTTTGGAAAACATATTATTACTCAGGTTTCTATTTCTGAGACATACCAGTGCAAGGAAGTTTCCTCTGGTATTGTACATTCTTTTCCCAGATTTTTTTAATTCCTACATTCAACAACAATGAGATCTGATCACTTACTAGCAGCATTTAAGTTCATTTAAAAAACTTTATCATCAGGCAATGTTTGCTACCACCCATTAAAAATTAAGACTTTTTTAGCTGTTGTGGTGTATTAAACATTGAGAAAATAGGCTTAAAAGTGGGGATGAAAAAGGGAAAATAATTACCTGTCGGTACAGAGATCTGGGCACATGTGCAGTTCACAGGCCATCATTTCATTCAAGGCTAAGAAAGCTTTTTCTCCTCATCACAGAAGCAGCCTTGGACTTTGTCGCTCCTAGCTAGCACAAGGGACAGGATTCATTTAAACTAACACAAGTTAAGAAAGGTTTCAGAAAACCTCTTAAAGCCAAACTCTCCTCCACCACAGAATAGCTCTGGAGCGGTGCTGCTTTCAGATGAGCCTGAAGAACAGCCAGTTTGGAAGTCACGTGCAAATTCTGTCCGCAGATTAAAGAAAATTTTGTTCTTATCCTGGACCACATTGCCATTTAGTGAAGAGAAGTCTGATGAGTAGAAAAAAGCACAGCAGGAGCAAGTACAAATGGAGCCTCACATGAATGGCTGCATCACACCGTGTGAAATAAAGGAGAGGCTCCAGAGGAATCATCTGTGTGTAAATGAAGCAACTCTTCATTGACCTGACTAGTCACTGATGGCATGCTATAGTTTTGTCCTAAGCAGCAAGGGAGAAAGAAATGTATAACTAATCCGTTAATATCCCCAGGACTTGTGCACTGAACCCCAAAATAAGGATTCCCAGAGAGCTGTGTTTGCATATCCACTCATCCAAGACAGAGTATTTAATTAAACGTTGATCTTTACTTAAAACTAGTGAGGTGTGAACTGCTCAGTGAGTTACAGGAGATCATGTTGCTACTAATCTCACAACCCATGGGCAGTCAATGCTCAGAGAGGTAGAAGCCAGTCGTCTGAAAGTCATTAAGGCACCGGCAGCTCAGGTCATCAGAGTGGGAGGCTGTAAAACTGCCCTGACCCCACTGCAGCCTTCACGGGCAGTAGCTGCCTGCTTTGTCACCTGAGCCCCACCCTACACAAAATCTTCCAGAAGCAGCAGAGAATGGAAGAGCAGAGCTCAGATTTTCTTCCTTGTGTAATACAGGCTGAGCTAATTTAAGTGGAATAAATCGGTCTGGAGAGTAATGGGCATTAAAGCATTGTGCAGTGACAGAGTCACGCAAGTGACAAGTGAGACCCACTGCAGCATGTCGAGAACCTTCTACCTGAGTATGCTTTCTATGACCACCATCAAAAACACTTCTGTACCTCTAGCAATTTTACAGAAAGGAGAGACAATATTCCATAAAAGGGACTCTTTTCTACCATGAATATCCCCTATTTCTTAAGGGCTGCAGAGGAGTTTTAAGAGGGAAACCCTCATCCAGTGGTCCTTCAAACATGAAGAAACAGCTCTAGGGCTTTCTATTGCTGAGGGCAGGGAAGACAGAGTTACAGTGCCTGGAGCTATTTCTCAGTCTGATGCTCTTTTTTTTAAGAGAAAGCAAAATTAGATAAGAGGTGCATGGCAGAGAAGCAGAATAGCAAAGAGAAAGTACTGCTTCTGCCCACACTACCAATCTTGAGTTTTGCCTTGCCTCGCCCTGCCAGCCTTGATGATGAAAATCTGGTGGTGACAGAATAAATCGCTATGTCCCAGGGCACAGTGGAAGCAGCTCTTTGCCCCTGTAGCCCACCTAGCCTCGTCACAGGTTCCCTGCTCAAGGACTGCAGACAAGGGCATTTTAATCATTGCATTGTTCACAACTGCCTTTCTGAAACAGTGACTCTTTTCCAGTTTGGACTAGTTCAGCCTCCTGACTATGATACAATTGATTAGACAGCTAAAAATCCAGCTATGAACATTTTGCATTACCTCAGAAAACTGAGGATGTGCTTCATTACACAAAAAGAGCGTCTCAATTTGAAACTGAAGTGATGGCAACAAGAAACTCTTTGTAAAGAAAACTTGAAGTGGCTTATAGCAAGATCCCGCAGGTTGGAAGAATTGGCTGGTCACAGTTCTTGCCTTCTTCGTGATACAAGCACTGAATCACTCTCCTACTCCGCCTTTAAAATTCAAAATTAGCAAGTATAAAGCTCAAGCAGGTCCTCCCTGGTTCTCTCCAACACCCTTGATTTCACTGCTTCCATTCTGAAGGGGCCATGTTAATGCTGCTCTTACTTGACGATTTTAGCACCTGTCCCCAAAGACTCCTTTTTGAAGCAATTCAACAGAGGGAAAGAAATTTCATCCTCTTAAGTTTAGATGGGTTTCTTCTCCTTTATAAATTAAAAAGGCAAGCAGAAATGATTACTCCAAATGCGAGCTCAGAGCAAGCAGTTTTTAGCTCATGCCAATTTTATGCTTAGTAGGTGTGACAGCACACTGCGTCTCAGCACTTTTGTTTAAAGTTGTCATCATCAAGGCCAGAGGCAAAGGCCTTCCTTCTCAGAGCAAGAAACACCTAGTGCAAGATGCAGGTTTGCATCACTTCTCTAGACAGTGCAACCCAGGAAGTCCACTCAAAATATGTAGGCAACTGCTGAATAGTGAAAACCACTATTGTTCTACCCACTACTGGGAAAAAAATAAATCGGCATAAATTAGCCACAGACCGCAAGTTTACTCCAAGACAGAGATGAAAAGAAGTTCTGGATCATCTCCAAATAATGAGGTTATAGCCCAAACCTCACACTGCCTCCAACTGAGTGTCACCCCCAGAGCAGCTGGGCATGCGTGACTGACATTTAATCAGTTTCTGTGGTTTCTCAAAATTGGGGAAGAGGTTAATCTTCCATTGTTAAAAATATCACTACATTCATGACACACATTCATCCAGCACGTCCACACAGCCAAACAATTATATAAAAGACTGCCTTTGAAGACAAACTGTCTGGACATGCTTCCAACTCCTCAAAATCAGAGACACAGAAATTATGCCAGCCCATACTGATGTTAAAGCCTTCTAGGGGGTAAAATGGGGTGTGGTGTCATTAAAAAGCAAGCCCAAATTAACCACATCTATACAGAGAGACACCTGACTAATAGATGACAATAATTAGGCAAAAGTGTTTACAGGTGTTGATCTAATGCCATGAAGACAACACTAACTGCCCAATAATCCCATATATACAGCTTGCTTTAAAGGACTGCAAATACCTGATCAGTGCAATTTGATGTACTTGATGGCAGCTCCTTTTGGATAATGGATATTGAATTGTTTTTCATCTTGCAACCCTACCAATAAATAGAGCTGCTCTCTTACTTTACTAGGTTACAGACATATTTTTCCATCCTCAAGCAGGCTACATGCAGACAAACTTACCTGGACAGATGACTCATTAGGGCAAGGAGATGAGTTACACAGGCAATAGCAATACTTTCTGCTATGAGTCAGGAAGGAGAAAATGCTTTACCGTATGGTCTGTAAGAGGAGGCAGAACAATCAGCTTCTCCATGGTATTCATTACCACCCTCCAGAGCTCTTTCAGCACCCGTTTCAACACTGTCTTTTCACACACAGTCGCAAACAGCGTCAGGCTGCAGGGAGAGAGCAAGAAGTAAGTTCAAAGAACGCAATTTGCAAGGAAAAAGGAGATGTGTATGGAAGAATCAGTGCCCCATCCAAAACAGGTTGTCATAACGATTGTTTTAAGGGTAAAAATCTTCCCTTTTCATAATGTACAGCCTGTCTTCACCCTTGGAGTTCTAGCACTAAAGACGTTTGGCCAAAATAGATTATTGACATTTCTGATCTCAATCATTTCTATTTATTGACCTGGGGATTACAGAAGGTATCACTAAGTTATGGTGGTTGGGAATAGTCCAAATAAGAGCAGGTACCATTGAACTGGTTCCTTTTAAGAAGACACTTCCTGATGTATCAGTTTTACAGAGTATATAGGAAAAAATTACAAACAAATATAGAACAACAGGTTTTAAACTTCAAGGGGTTATTAGAATGATTTTTCTTGAATACCTAAATTGATACTTCCCAGACTGTTATGCAGAAGTTCCTGCACAGCTTCTGATAGCTGCTGAAGTCCCTAAATCTTCCACCTCTATAACCACCTCAAAGCATTTCTTGGACTCCTCTGTATTTTGTTGCAATTGCATTCACCACCAATCACCTGCCATGTGTTTATTCCCTTTTACATAAAGAAGTTCTGCTTTACTTCCCTATTTATTCCTCCTTTATTATCGTACAGGCTATCAAAAAGGCCAAGAAATACTAGATTCTTCTTCGAAATGATTGTTGGACTTCGGCGTTTACTGATCACACTGGGAGAGCTACAAAACAGGAACTCTGCAGCCAGTAGCAGTGCACAGGCGATAGCTGACTCTTCTACATTGTGTAACATCTTCTCCCAGATTTCCCTTCTCCCCACAGCTGGTTAGACAGTGTTGAACAAAACTGAACAGGGACACGACTGATGTGGGTAGGATGCAGGAAGCATCGAAAAAGGCTCTCCTGTAAAGGAGGAAAGAAAATAATCCAGGCTCGGATTATCATAATCAAAATTACTTGCTCTGCAGCTGGACGAAAGGCCCATAGCATACCAAGTTCCCAGCGATACAAAGGAAGGTGGATTCTCAGGATTCATGAAGGCATGCATGGAAAATGCTCAAACGAGAGGGCTCCTAGGTGTAATGATTGCTGCAGAGTCATGTACTACATGGTGACCCAAAAGAAAGATGGGACAATCAATACAAAGAACAACAAAATAAATTATATTTTAAATTTGTAAAGCTTCACATCTCTTGCAGCATTTATTATGAAAATTGCTGGCCACCCCTTTCAAAACGAAGAACTGATATGCATCAGCAAGAAGTTTAACTTCAATGATTAAAAACTATTTCTCTTTGTAGATCAAGGCTTAGCTGATGAGAATTATATGCAGTTAGCCACAAAAAGTCCCTGTACAGCTGAATCATGCTGCATGGCTTTAATGGCAACAGTTAATTAAAGCAATGGATCAAGCTTACGTACATCACATAGTTCAGAAGCTTATTTTCTAGTCAGAACAGCACCAGGTATGACTACAACACAGACGCTTAACATGACTGGGATACTGAGTAGTGTATGTATCAAGTATGTAAGTATGGTTTGCAATACGTGTGCTAATTGGCTACAGTACAATTTGTATAGGAAAAAACCCGTAGCTAGTAAATTTAGAATTTCAGTCTTTCCCACTACCTGATCAGCAGTGTGTTTTGCTGATTGCTATAATTGCCAGAGGGAGAAAGAAGAACTGAGGGTGCGCTCTGGCACTGAATGAAGGCTGAAGAGGTGATCCATGGCTTGAATGAGAGGCAGGTATGGGAAGGAAAGCTATTAATTCTTCCTGAGAATTTGGAGGCCCGACATCTCAAGAACAATCCAAGAACATGGAGCTATTTTTCCTTCCCCCATCCTGTTCCCAATCCGATGCACTGTACGTGTAACATATATTTGAACACTCGCTTACTTTCCATCCAGGAAATCCATCAATGGCCTCAGGACATTATCTGCATCTTGTGCAACTGTGTTTCTGGCATTAGCAGCAACATTTCCCGTCCCTTTCACTTGACAGAGGATATCAGACATTTGCTTGACACACTCATCAATACGAGTCTGAAAGCTGAAGAGATAGGAGAGAGGCAAAAATACTGCAAGTCCATAAACATGCACTCAATTACACACTCTTCCTCCATGAGGTTTGCTGCTCATTTCCTTACTGTATTTGCTAACAGGCATGCTACCCAGTCCTTTATGCACACCGTACACAGACAGCCTACCACCTCTGAACACAAGACACAATCACACTTGAGAGGAGTCTGTTCATTCATCTTGCAAAAACAAATGATCCTTTCCTGATTTCAAGAAACACTGTTATTCTTAGCTCAAAGCACCCTGCTGTGTCTTTGCTTTCTACACAGGGTGCTACACCACAGAGACTGGGATAGAGCATGGAGCAATGGCACAATGCACGCACAACTCTGAACACCCAGGAGGCCATCGGCAGTAATTCGGTTATGACCCATCATAGGCTGTCTTTAAAATAACACAGCCTGAAAGCAGGCACCGACTGAAAACAGTCCACTGCCATACAGTCCATGCTGTATCAAAGTGTCAAAATGGGATGTGGGGCTCAGCTGTGAAATGAGCAGTGTCACTGTAATGAAGTGACATGCAAGCCATTAAAGCACAGTTATTTTTCCATCTTTTACTGCTAAGAGGAGGTTCAAAATGAAATAATACAATGGTTAAAAATAATGAATAGATCAGCAGAGCTGTCAACATATCAATTCAGCGAATAAAGGAAAATGCTCTGACATTTAAAAGAACAGTTACTAACAACAGGCATTACAAGTGACATTTAGCTATCCACTAACAGCACAGAGGTTTGAAACCAGGAAGAGAAGTCACTGCTAGGAGCTAGGGTAAAGATTTAAGAGCAGGAACACAGGTTTGGAAGTCAGCATAAGTGGCCTGAACTTCTGCTGTGTGAGCCACCTAGGACATCTGAGTTGGGTGCTAGCACACAACCCCTCTGCCCTGTGGCTCTCACCTTCCTTCTCCACCCCATCACTTCTTTCCTCTCCTGCACTGCCACCTCCAGCCTCATGGTCCCTCTGGCTCACTTCTAACCTGCCTCTCACTGGAGCAATTCCAGAGCTCTTTCTCCATGCAGCCTCCACTTCCACTTTCCCCATTTCTAGGAGAGTGGCTTGCAGCAGCCAGTTATGGCTACAATGACAGCTTAACCAGAGACGTAAGTCACATCAAATAAAATAAAACAGTACCAAGGATTTCCTGTACTGCTGACAGTCCCTGTTCTGTTACAGGCTAATCTCACCCCACAGTTCTCCCAAATACTGCATCAGTTGTAGGACCCTGCTTCAAGATGCTGTAAATCCCCAGCCAGGGGATGAAAAATAACAGAATCCCTTAAAAGATAAAAACTAATACAAGGCAACATTGTCACCAATTATGAAAAAAGATAAATGAGTTACTGCGGCAACAGGCTCACCTGAACGTGAAGCTCATGTAGATGTACAGCTTAACAGGAGCCCTTGGCAGCAGCAAGTTAAAAGACAACCTCACCTACCCTGTCAGACAGGGCCCTCTGCTCCCTAATTCCTGCAGGAATTCCCTCCTTCACTCCTACAGCCTCCAAGAACAAAACAGCAGCTAGCCTTGCATGAAGTACAGACCCTTTTAAGTTTCCTTTTCTCTGTGATATCCTTTAAAGCAGAAAATGCTTCTGTGTCCAGACATAATCCTCTCTCAGCACGAAGGTGGTGAGGCTCTCCGGATGTGTGCTGCTTTCCCAGCAGGTGCAATGACCTCACATAGATGAATAAAAGTTAAGATCTGCAGCATCAGGTGTGCACGGTGTTGTAGGAGCAAGTGTTTACAGACTGCACAGAATATTGTGGGTATCTGTCTTACCTCCCACATTTACATCCTTTAGAAGATCCTGCTTATACAGTAAACTGCAGCTCTGCTCTTCATTCCCTATTAACTGTTAAGGAATGAGCGAAGCATCTGAGCCATCTGACTGGCTAAATCTTGCTGGCACATCTCTCTAAAATACTCCCTGGTATGTATGCTGATACTGAATAATCTCTTTAAATCGTATTTGCAAATGTCAAGATTGTACTCTAATTGTCTTGTAGCAGTGACACCATGGAGACAGGTTTCAGATAACAAAATTCACCCCCTTTTTTATTATTATTATGACTATGATTATGACTTCTCACTCATCCTCCATCTAATTATGAACCTTATCGATTCAATTCAGTTACAGTTTGAATATCTCCATTTCTTGCTATAGCATCCATTACTGGCAACAGGAACTCCTCACTTATCTCCCCACTTAGCTCTGCGTGCTGAAATCCAAATAGTCGCTGACAAATCCCACCGTTGATTTTTTGGTCGTAAGTACTGCAAATCTGCAGACTGTAGGAGGCCAAGTTGGTACAATTTGCTTTATTCCCTTTGCCCATGTTTCAGCTATACTACAGTTCATGCCTGCATTAATCTTGTTATAAAGCACAACATGAAATGAATGGGGTTTATCATGAGAAGTGGTTTTTGAAGATCAGTTGGGAACCCTGTATTTTTAGGTTTTGCTTAATTGACGTCTTTTATGGTTCACTACAAAATTATTATGAAGTCGAGCACATTTTTATCCTCAGGTAAACGGTAACATGATTTGCAATAAAACTTAATTGCCATCAATTACTGTGGCAATAGTTAAAAGAGCTCCTCCCCTTGAAACATTAGAAAACACCATTCACTGCAACATTAGAACAAGTCAGTCTCAAATTCTAAACCTGTTTCCTTCTTATTCCAATATTCATTTAACAATCAGAAATCAGTCAGCTGTTTCATACATTTAGAGCAGAACATTTAAACAAGAATGTTGTTTCATAAACACTAAGCTGGAAACTGCTTTCCGCGCAATAAAGGAGCAGGCAATTCTGTTACTGACAAGCACTACTTACAGAAAAAAATCACTCTATGTAATTCAAATACACAGTTGAGAAATCTCCATGTTACATTTCTGAGCAAAGCAATATAGAAAAGAGAGACTTTAAAAACATTTCTCACTTCTTTAGATGATCTCAGTATTTGAAAGACCATGAATTTGTGACAAAAAAGAAAAATATAATGCAGTTGACATGAGTTTCTTTTCTCTTCTTAACCTGACTGAATGAGATTAGACAAAAGAAAGGAATGCTTCAAGGACAGGGACCTCGTTATACTCACCTGTTACCAAACACAGCACTCAGCTCATCCAAAACATTGTTCAGCTTCACCTGGAGCTCTTTGAGATGGTCACTTGCTTCTGCATCCAACTGTGGATGAAAAAAGAGCACTTAGCTTGAACCCAGAGGGCAGTCTGCTGTCCTTCACAGCGCTGCTCTTCACTGTTGAGGCTGCTCTTAATAAGCAGGTGAACTACCATCACTGGACTCTGCCAGCTAGGATGCTCTCCTCCACTGCCTGCTGCTGTTACAGAAGCTGTGAAATCATCAACAGATACTTGCCTAAACAGCAGCAAGTGGTTTCCCCAGGCTCTGACACCCTCCGATACCCTTCCTGATATTTGCAAAGTTGAGAAAGAAAGTGAATGTGAACTCCCTGTGGCCAACAGAGTAAGCAGGCTGAGAAATCATCAAGCACTGTGCGTTACCTTGGGCTCACGGGTCATTTCACCCCTCTAAGTCTAGAAGCAAACAAGGCTTTTCGGACTGGATGTTATTTACTTGTGCATTTCTCCATGCATGGTCTTGAAAGATGCTATTTCACCTTCCACCCTGCTGTCAGTATTCAAACTGAAGATCGACCCAGCCACTGCTCTCAGAAGACTGGACCCCAGCTATTTTGAAAATCTGGCCACAATATCATGTTGTGCACTGATCACTTTTGGAAAGCATAATCTCAGCTATGGGTATTGAGCACAAGTAGCTTTACTCTCACAAGGAGCCAGATAGCTTTTTGTATACAACTGTTCAGAGGACACTTCACAAAACAAACAAAAAAAAGTGCCCTAAGCACTACATGGACACTGCTGACACCTTGGCACATTCCATAAGAAAGTGCTTGCTCCATTCTTATCAGCCCAAAGCCACCCGTTTTTACATTCAACAGTGCCTCGTATTCCAGCTGTAGTCATCCCTCCAGTCTCGAAAGAGCCACTTCTGAGCAACCTACCTGTGTGTATACATAACAACACATGTTGAATGCTTTGGGATCATTTGGTCTGAAAAAGTAACTTGTAAAACAGATTTGCCTTTGTATGCAGGCAGGCAAGCTGCTTGTACAACAAAAACCTTCCAGAAATGTTTGCATTTGGCATTCAGAGTTTCAGCCCTTACCTCTAAGGCAGAGTATCTATTTACAAATGTAATGAGCCAGATGCCAGTACAGTGGTTAAAAATCAGGTTAGATTTTTACGGTATATCCACGCATGCAGCTATAGAGGATTTGAACATGACAGGAGTTCCCACTTCTATATTCAGTGCTGAAGCCCTCTTCATATTCCTCAGCATCTGCCAGAGAAAGCCAAGCCTTAGGGGATTTGGAATCTTATCCGTTCATTTTCCCTTTGTAAGCTGGCATGGAAAACTGACTCTATTAGGCATTTGAACCTGTGCTAATGAAACTCCTGGATCAGATATTTAAAAATAATTTTAAAAAACCCAAGCAAATGATGATTACTTAAGACTTATAACTTTAGACATTGCTAGCTCTGATTATTTTTCCTTTATTAAAGTGAATTTGTATTCCTATTACCTTTACAACTCCCTCACTCTATGAAGGCAGAAGGAAGCTAATGTCATACCAATCAGCAGTCATTCTAGTCAAGCTTGTAGGTAACAAAACAAAACCAGCATCTGTTGTTGTTGGTTTGTCTTGCCCCCTCCTTCCCTTCTCCTACTGTGTAAAGGGGCATCGAGTCACAAGCCGACTGGTTTGCTACCTACAATTAATGGCACTGAACAGTCCTCTGATTTTAGCCATTTCTGGTAGATTTGAGGCAGGACCAGCTCATGATTCATCAAAACATTTCAAGTAACTGCTTTTCCAGATAAAAAAATAGCCAGAAGAATTTGGCACAAGACGCCTATTCCTCACTTCTTCTTTATAAGCTACTAGATGCATGATCTAAAGGATGTTTGAGGTCAGGATCAACAGCTTACGGCCCTGGTCCATGAACCATGCATTAATGAGTTGTTTTACTGTGAGGTGACATGGAGAGCTCACCAACTACCTCTAAGCTTCTCCTTGGTATTGTACTTGTTGACTGCAAACTGATCTTCTCAGGAGCAGAAGAAAGGCTGATTGCCAGCCCTGTACTGCAAGCTGGAGCAATGCTTTGCCAAGGGGACAAGCTCCATTATCTGTGGCGAGGAACTCGCTCTCCTCCAGAACATCAGCTCACAGCTCTCTGGGTGCAACTGGCAAGACAGCTGCCCAGATTTAACTTTGAGGTGCCCAGCCTTACCCTCAGGAAGCAAAGCCCTGGTGGTAAGCATTCTGGTTCAGCATCCACCAAGTCCTCTGTCATCCTAGAAAGGCTGCTGTCTTCTGAGCAACTGCTACTATGGAAGGAAGAGGCCACTTAATACATTACTGATTGTTAATGCTTAGGCATTGGCATGCTTTGGCTTGAAAACAAATTTTGAGGAATTACCTGAGTGTGATTTAAGTCCATTAGGAAGGTGCTGGTAGGTGTGTACTACTGTTTCACATATATAAATTACACATCAGTTACAGACTCCCTGTAGCATGTGGTATAACTGCAAACTGTTCTTTGCCAATATGGTGAAGCACTGATAACAGCACTCAAATGAAACAGCGTACGTTTTGCTGTTGCTGCTTAGCCAATGAATTCTAAGCACAACAGCTATCACTGATAGCAGGAAATGCTACTTGGACTGCATGATAAATCTGGCTGGTAGAGTAAAGCAGAAAGCAGTATTAGGCAGCTGGGTCACTGCTATATGTCACGTTCAGACCATTTCTATCGGAAGCTGGAGCGCAGCACGCTTATGATCTCCATTCTGTGGGTGTATCAGAGATGACTCAGAGGAAGAAAGCTAATGAAAAGTTCTCTGTGCAAAACACGGGACAGTACCCACAGCGAGGTGGCTTCTGATCTCTGAGCAATGTTCCAATTCCAGTGGAAATAGTGGCTGGCATGGCCACAGTTCTGTGTTTGAGACTAAATGTATGATACAGAAAACTCAGGTGCACGCAAAGAGGGAAGAGGTAATCCTATATTTACATTTCAGGGAAAAAAGCAGGGCCCTGCTAATTTCCTGCATAGATTTGGGACTTGGCATTTCAGAGAATCCGGGCCTCGAAGTCTCATCCAAACACATTCAGGGCTGGAACCTCAAGTTCTCTGCTAATCTGAATGGTGGCATTTACAGCATAGTGCTATGAACTTCAATTTAGGTTGATCTTCTCCTGCTTCTCTCATGGATGAAATGGAACCCATGAGTCTAAGAATTTGCTGTGATGGGCTTCCAAGTTTTCCAAGAGATGTCGTTAGTCCTTCTTTGGTTTCTACATACACTGGTGAAGCGCGAGCGACCAGAACTAGAAGGCTCCTCTGTAGCTGGAGAAACAGCTCTTGTCTTCTAGAAGGTTGAAGATGTTAATCAATCCACATCTTAAAGCCTGAGAACCTGTGAAATCATCAGGTCTGATCTGACGTATCAGCAGCTAAAGAATTTTGCCCTGCTATCCTTTCTTAGCTTTATGCAAGTTATAGAGTTCACCTGGCTTCAGCTTGAAGTTGCTGATTTTTGTTCTGCCTCCCTCCACTAGCACTTGGGAGCTCCCCTCTGCAGAGGTGACTGTGAGGCAGGGAGCTCAACAGATCCAACCTCCCTTTAGGGACTTGCTTGCACTGAATTTTCATGCATCTCCCCACTTTCCTATAGGATTCAAGAGTAAGGACACTGGAGCACTGCATCCAAACAGCTGCCAGCTTCTCAAATACTAGGGTGGCCTTAGCTATGGCACATGGGATGCTAAATTGGAGCAATCAGTAGATACCACAAATCCTTTGAGAACATTCCTATCAAGTCTTGGCCATTTCTAAGTTTTCCTGCAATTTGTTATTCAGGTGGCTAACTTAGGATTTAAAACATGGGCTAACCCTGGCTGAGCATTAAGAGGAGAGTTTCCTGAAGCATTAATTGTACAGATTAGCTTGAAAGGCATGAAAATTATATGATGACAACCTGCTGCTACTCAGCAGCCAATTGTTTGGGTTCCCTAGGCAGCACTTGTCTCTGATACTCACCCGCATGCTTGACTTTGGAGAAGAAAAAAAGTGCATAAATGTTTTAAACTAGGCTTCCACAGCACATCTAGGCTTCAGCAGTGGGCAATACAGTACAGCACCTTTTAATTTCAGTGCCATGAGTTTGTAACTCATGAAAAGCTAAGCAAAATAATGGACTGCAGAAAGCCATCTCTCTCAAGCAAAATGGGAAGGGCTTATTCTGGTGTCAGGGACAGCGCACAGAGAAGGCTGAAGTCTGCAGGAAAACTGCAGAAGTGGGTAGAAAATGCAGGTCACATTAGGTTTTATTAGATAATGTCTGAATAATTAAGCAAACGGGGTCAAGTTCAGGCAAACACTAGCAATGAATCTCTATAGCCCACTTTAGCACAGAGCTAAATTACAATCTCTGTTCGGTGGGTGTATTGGAGATGATTCAGAGGAATCAAAGGTTTCAAAAGGTATTCATGTACCCAATTTCTATCCAGGACTTACCCCCTGATTCCACTGTTCATTATGCGTTTAATGCTACCTGGCACTCCATAAATGCTGCCTTTCCAAAACATGCTTCAGGAATGTCTGAGAGTGCTACTGAGCCACAGTGAAGCTGTTTTGATCCCATGAGATCAACACAGCTCAGACGGGAAATAAAAGTATTACTTATAAATCCTAAAAATCATTTAAGATCCTTCTCTGTGTGTGTGTGTGTGTGTGTGTGTGTGTGTGTGTGTGTGTGTGTGTGTGTGTGTGTGTGTGTGTGTGTGTGTGTGTGTGTGTGTGTGTGTGTGTGTGTGTGTGTGTGTGTGTGTGTGTGTGTGTGTGTGTGTGTGTGTGTGTGTGTGTGTGTGTGTGTGTGTGTGTGTGTGTGTGTGTGTGTGTGTGTGTGTGTGTGTGTGTGTGTGTGTGTGTGTGTGTGTGTATATATATGCCTTGAGATATCAAGCACAGACCCAAGAGAAACCCTCCACACAGAGCTCTCTAAAGCTCTGCTGCTGTCCTTATTGTTTCTGACTAGTAACGTTCACAGACTACATGATGTCAACACATTAAACCCAGAGATGCTGGGCAATTTTTGCCCTGTTTTGTGCCTTCTGAGTACTACAGTTGGAAAAAGAATAAGAGAAGTGGGGGCAAAGGTACCATTCCTCATTTGGGGAAAAAAAAAGTAAAGGAAGGCATTATATCAAAGATCCCATCTCAAGAAACAGTACCAGGCAAGCACTTCTGTTCCATGTTATGACATTACACTGCAGGGTGACTATGAGTGAGCCCTGTCCCTTCATTTCCCTTGCTGCAAAAGGGACTAAATGATACAGATTTCCATAGGGGTGTGTTTTGGACGCACTGGCAAAGAGCACTAGGTAGCAGCAGTATTTCAAAGCTTTCCAGAGTTGTGCAGTGCTACAACTGCAGATGGAGATGGATCTGTGAATCAGAAGCAGATGAAGCCACAAGTACACAGTAACTGAAACCAATCCCCAAGTTTTGGCTTCACACATGGTACATCTAACATACCTGCCACAGGAACAATGGAATATTTGGTACCTACCTCAACATCTTTGAGAACACAAAAAAGTGAACAGTTCAAGATGACCAGGACATACCACTATGCTACTTTCTTATTCCCCCAAGGAAGTAGTTCCTTTTTGGGTAGAGAAGTCAGAACAATGCTTACATTTGTGCAAGCTACTGTGTGATGTATAGATGAATATAAATCAAATCAGTCACAGAAAGTAAGAACTGCCCTTCCTGAAGGAGAGGATAAAACCCATAGATGCATTTCCAGGGGCATGCTTGTCTACATGTTCTATTTTCAAAGCTGTTGTCTCACCAGTTGTTACTCACTAGCCAGGTTCAATCTACATCAGAAAAAGGACTACTCAAACTAGGACAAGACCTTGTTTACTCTAGCAAAACAGAGGACCTGGCAGGTTTCAGGTCAAGAAGCAAAGTACTACATAGTCACCAAGAGGGAAACCCCTGGGGATAGCAAATAATGCAGGCACCTAACACAACACAATTTATTTCTGGTGATCAGTGGCAGTCTAATGAAGTAGACAAGCAGCATTTGAAAAGAAAAGAAAAAAATAACTTCCAAAAACCAGCTTCCTAGCATGTTCGCCTGGTTTCTTCCTGTGTGTTTTATTGCTCACAGTTTGGGTTCCTCTCCCTTTTTTTTTTTCTTTTGATTGCACAGTGCAGGGGAAATAGTGGATTCATCACCTCTGTTCTATCTTACCTATACCTCCTAAGGAAGGTTTTAAAGGGCAGAACGCAGAGAGTCTAGGCTAGGAAAAGTAGTGGACAGTCTTAACAAACACTTTTTTTCTCCCCCTATTTAACACACTATGAGGTGGTATTTTCAATTTGCAGGTGGTATTTTCAATTTGAAACATAGGGAAACCCTACTTAATGGCCACCGCTATGGAAAAAAGTAGCAAATTGATTCCTTAAGGGAAATTAAGTGCACATGGATTAAAACTTTATAAACCACTTCACAAACATTTCATCACAAGTTTATTTTTTCCTGAAAAATGAGCATTTAGCTACCACTGCTATTACAGCTGGGAGCATATAATTCTAGTTCTTGATGTAGGGCTCAGAAATTAGGATTGTTGAGATCACACGCGAAAGAATGACAGCAGTTTCCCTTACCTCGTGGGGTAAATCTATTTGTTGAGATTTTTGCCACTTCATAGAATTCTGCCACTGAACACAAGAAAGATTTGAAACAGCAATACAGCCAAAAACTGAGCTGCCCATCAGCAAAGCTGACTTTCCTCTTGGCCTACAGGTCATAGCACAGGTTCTACCACAACACAAGCAAAGAAGATGCACTTAGACTTTCAAAATAATTTTTTCCTAACATCAGCATCAGCAGCCTTTTCTTCATCTTCCCGAATCTTGAAAAGCAATGAAAAAAGAAGAGAAAAAAACCAAACACATACATGGATTATATCAGAAAAGATACAGTGATCTGGGGGAGGGAAACCTTATTTCTGTAAAAATGGCCATCTCAGAACAAAGAACAAAAACTAAGATATTTATATCATGGACACATCTGAGTATCCAACAAAGCATGAGTACAGAACTCTTATCTGCATGTCTGCAATACATTAGATACTGGACATTTCATGCCAAAGGTACTGTCCCACATTTATACGCCACATAAAATGACTCGATGCCAACAGTTCTCAGACCTATCTGTCTGTCTTCAGAGCTGTGAAACCACCAGCCATGCCCACATCCAGCCCACATGAGCACAGTACATATCCTTCTCTTTCCTCCTCCATGCTATTCTGTGCCTTGAAACATTCACTCCTGCATCTTATGATAAATTTTGTTGAAAAGTCTTCAGGCATGGCTGTCCCCTCACACTACTTATAGTGCCAGGTGTCACGGGGCTCTCCTTATGACTGCAGTCTGCAAGTACCAGTATGATGCAAATAACCTAGTAACAGTGTAGTAGGAATGAGTAATACTCAGTCTCTTAGCACTCTTACCTCTTTACCACCCATGGCTTCAAACATCTTCTCTAGCTGCACCCTCAGCTGTTGGATGTTATTCATCAGGATGCAGGGCTGAAGGGACAAAAGCAGGTGCCTGTTACAGCTCAGGATGCCAATACAATTTCACCAGTGGTACAGTCTGTGCCTCAACACCCTTCCCCAAGTACCACCAGTTCTGAGAGTCCAATAGGAGCTAGGGCACGCACAGATTTCAGCACTCAAACCTAAAAAAGACAAGTCATTTTTTTTCTCCAGTTTGAAATGGGATGGCCAGTCCAAGAAACCCAAGATCAGGGAGATCTCTGCTGTGGTATTTTCCTCCTCAGCTTTATCACAGAGAATGAGCTGACAAGAAATCAGTGTCAGGACAAGGCCCAACTCTCTGCAGCTCATGCCATGCCCTGCAAGAGTCCAAGCTGTGTCACCTTCAGCCTCTTAATGCTGCAACATACTACTGTGAATGGTGTACAACCCAGATCAGAAGGGGAACTGCCAGCCAAAGCTGCATTCAGAGTCACAACTGGGTCCTGCCAGGCCAAGCCTGAGAGCAACAGTCAAGGGCAGCATGAGCAATAGACTCTTCCCTCTGCAGTTGCATCCCCAGTACAGGTGTGGGAGATAGCAAAACCAGCATGGGACAGACCCAGGGTTCAAAAATTTAAGACCCTGTTTTATTTAATACACAGAATTTTACTGAATTCAGGATTAAACAGCAAGATAATTAGATGGAGACAACAGTAAACCAAGCGTGCTGCTAAATACGAGATCTACAGAGCAATCTGTGCCCTTTTTTTTTTTTATCACCTCAGTGACACACAACCCAGACAGGCAGAGTAGAAGTTAATTTCAAGTGGACCTGACAAGCCTCCAAGCCCTGCAGATCATCTTCAGGACCTAGTTTTATTTTACGGCCAAGCCAGAATTCAATCTGCAAAAGCATACGAATGACAATAAAAACAACACTGAAAATATTTACACCATCAACATGGTCAGATGCAACACGAGAAACTTGGTTTCATCAGGACAATTATGTGATTCCCTGGGCAGAAGAGAAGCTCAGCAGGACTCACCAGTTTCTCCTTGGAACAGTAGGACTGGAAGCTCTTGGAGAGGATGTCAGCATACTGCATCAGCACTTTCCCAATAGTCTGCAAAGACAAGATGTGAGCACTGTTACTTGTCCTCTATCACTGCAGGAGAACTCCAGGAAATAAAACGAAAAAAACATCATACTGTTTTGCATCCCAGTAAGGGAAGATTACCAGCTGGATGTTAGAAGTATTACCTTAGCAAATCTCCTATTATAATGAGCAACAATGACAGGGTCTGGGCACTCCAGCTTCTTAATGATCTCAAAGCTCTGATTGAGCTGGGTGAAGACATCCACCACTGAGCAAGAGAACAGAGCATGCTCGGATGTTTGCTGGAACTAAAACAGAAGTAAAAAGAGTCATTCTCAAATGGAAAGATCTGAAATACACCCATTTCATGGGTGTCTCCATCATCTGCCGTATTGGAGGCAGGACAACTTTACCAAAACCTGCCTCTTCCTCAGAATTAGTGAAAAGCTCTCCAAAAGGCCCAGAGCTAAATAGCCAATTCTGTTGGGTTGTACGTTTACTGTCCTTCACCAACTACGACATGATAAGCACCAAGGAAACGTAGCATGATGCTGAGACCCTTAACAAAATGCATGGCTTGCCTGTCAGTTAATGAGAAAAGGAGAAGAGTGAAGAGCTTTTTTTAGATTTTCTTAAAATTTAGATATTAAAGAGAATGCTTACATTAGCATCACAGACTACAGTGCCAACAGTCACTGAACAAATGGGAAGGCTGACGCTCTCCATCAGGAATACTCAGCAAATTAAGAATAAGATTACTCTTTCAGTGGATTAAGGTCACATCCTCACTGCATGACTAAGTACGTGCAAAGTGCCTTATATTTCAATTACCTCTCACAAACAGAGAGATGAGAGAGCACCAAGCCACTGGCTGATGGATGAACATCAGCAGATCAGAACAGACATAAATGAATTATATGCACCTTGCTATTAAACAGCTCTCTGTGACCTGTAGAGAGAAGTCCTAAAATAAACAAGTTTCCCAGTTGTTTAGCAAGCAAAAAGGGCTGCATCCTCCATTTGTATGACAGCTGAATTTACAGTGGTGGTGTTTGGTTCTGGGCACTGAAGGATATATCGCCAAGTCCTCCACTTAGAGTGACCTACATACCCCATCTTTTTTATCCCTCTCCAGAGCACCATGCAAGAATTCTAAGGAAACATCTTCATTTTCATCCAGCCACTGCATCACAAACTGCTCAAACCACCTGCAAGAGGGACAGGAAAGACAGAAAGTTACAGCAAGAAACAGGGCACCTCAACAAGACTCAGACAGTGCTGCTCTTCTAGCAAGCCTTGTGAAAGCTTGCCACTGTTAGATGTCTGAATGCTGTTATCTGTGTGTGCAGCCAAAGTTCCCAAAAATACTCCTACCTGTACACAAGCTACCAGTGAGCAGGGGCTGTACCATCACTTGGGCTGGACAAGCAGAACACAGCCCAGCCCAGCCTCTGCAGATCGTTGGTCCTGTGCTAGTTTTGTCCTTCTCCCCTGTCTCTCCTCTTTCTTCATACCTTCCTCTTTTTTCCCCTTTGAGCACCACCTTTAACTTTGCATCATTTAAGAGCACTTTGCCTTTTCTTCCCCTTTTACCCATGTGCCAGACAGGACAGGGAAGACCTCCAATACCACTATCTCTGCATGCTAAGAGCGACGGCACACTGTCCTGCTGCCCATTTGGATCTACCATCTTTCACATGAGAGCTGCAAATGAGTATAAAGGGAGGAAAAGAAGTGCCTGTTTTCCAGGGCCCTTCAGCCCCTTTATCTGCAGATACAGACATATTTCTGGAGTGCCAGGAGGAAGAATCAAGGCTAGAAGTTTTCTCCACTTTAATCCTGCTCTCCCTTTCCCCAAGCCTTCTCTAGAACACCCTCCCATTTCTATGGGCTGCTGATCTCACTGTGAAGATGCTTGAGTAGATTAACTTCTGGTGATAGCACGACACATCTGCTAGGGCTTGCAGGAAGCTGGCCAGGCCTGTAAGTAGCTCTTCATTGTTCTCTCTTAAAGAAGCACAAACTTAATTCATGTTAAGTGCTGGACCAACAGCCTTGGAGCATGGTCAAGTCCCCAAACCAGGCAGGTCCTAGAAGCAGGACAGTAAAGTTTGTCTCTGTTTCTTCTCCTCAATTAGGAGGATAAGCTAAATGGTAGAGCAGAATCCAAGAAGCTGCTGAAACAGCCACTGTTGTATCTCAGGGAGATGCCTTACATGAGGTGGTGTCTGGAGCTGCCTCCTGCACTGAACAAAAGGCTTCTACCCCACCTTGGCCAAATAGGCAAGGTAAGAAGTGGCTTCAGTGATGGGATCTTACAGCTGGTTATCCCTCTGCTCCCTGCTCTGTGGGACATATCCACATAGTGCAAAAGGAGGGGGGGGGGGGGG